ACTCGGGTATTCCTCGATAATTCATATCCGAGAGAAGTAATCCAAATAAACAGACTGGTGGCTGAGAGCCGATGTCAGGACGGAGATTATGAAAGAAAGATGAAGATAGAGAAATAATCATGAAAGCGGATATGTCTCCCTTCCAGTGAAATAGCTCAAAAACTACGGCTAATATTAAAAGGGAATATTCCGGTGACCATGAAGGAAAAAACAACACTCTGCCCAAGTGTACCCACGCAGCATGAAAGCGTAGATAAATTGGATCACTCAGGAGTTTACTACATAGCATGAGGCGCCTGTGAACAGAAATAAATGGGCGAAACTGGGAGAAAAATCGGCAAAGGAACCAAGGAACATCGAAGGCTCTGGGCGACTTTGTACGTGCTACTGAAGGCTTAAAAAGTAGCACTTGGAGTCAAAGTACGTTGGGGCTGGAACCGAGTGAAATCAGTCAGCCAGAAAGACAAGAAACGGACCGACGGGCACACGAAGCAGATACGGACAGGAGGCTCGAGTCGGATCAGCCACTCGAAAGTGAGGCGAGCAAGGCAAGTAGCAGGTGTGATGACGCCACGGTAAGTTTGCCAAAATGCCATGTGAGACTAGAGGGTAGGAAATGGATAGGAGGACCAGGACAAAACGATGAGTGATAGTATGACCGCCTTGACATAAAGTATTTTTGACGAGTTGTAGCTTGGTTGCTGAGACTGGCATGACACACCGACGATTTATACGATGCCGGCGAAGCGTCTTGAAATTTACCAAATCCACTGTCCGACTCTGGAAATGATTATGCATACTATGGACTCCGGACAAGGTGCGTTCTTCTAGGTCTTACTGCTAATATTACCAAGTTGCGAAACCAAAGTCAAACAACTTCTATGCTTTTATTTCCTTCATCCAGGAAATAAAACTCGGCAACAAACAGATAATAGCAATCCCATTTTTATATACGACATGTATTCGCACTTATCCTTCCAATTAATCCCACTTAGAGTCTTCCCGTATACTATTTTCGCTATTATACTTATTTTAGCACTCTCTCATATACCTTAAACAAAGAAATATCTTACCTTTTTATAAAGTAAAGACAATTCGATTATCACATATCGAGCCTTAATAAAGCTGCAAATATTTATTTATTCAAAATGAGATTGATATTCTAGTGTAACTTGTATCATAAAGCCAGTTACATGCTCTACTTAATGAAGATAGTATAACCGCCTTGACATAAAGTATCTTTGACGAGTTGTAGCTTGGTTGCTGAGACCAGCATGACTCACCGATGATTTAGACTACGATGTCAGCGAAGCGTCTTGAAATTTAACAAGTCCACGGTCCGACTCTGGAAATGATTATGCATACTATGGACTCCGGACAAGGTGCATTCCTCTAGGTCTTCCTGCTAATATGACCAAATTGCTAAAGCAAGATAATGCAACTTAATATAAAATTAAGTATACTGGTCTTCGCATGACTGTTTCCTCTAGTGGAATAGATGTAAATTCTGCATGAATGCAAATAAAAGTGTATGTTTGTTTATCCATTGAACACGATAGCCTATCCTATCAAACAGCTAGGATATTGCCTTCTCGCCTAATATAATTTGCCAGAGTATTATAAAATCAAATGTATTTAGTTCCCTGCCCCGGATTAGTTAAGTTAGGGCCTGGCTACCTTGTTAGCCTATTGGAATGAAAGTAAAATATGAGGAATAAACTCATTCTGATAGACGAAAAGCTTTCTGTCATACATATCAAGGTTGTAGTTACTTAACTGGAATAAACATGGTAAAAACTAAATTTAGTAAGCGCTGAGAGATAAAAAAACAAAATTTTAATCTCTTTTAGTTCTAGCCTCTCCTTTCCCTTTTTATTTATGATGATGAAAATAGTAGGAAGACAAACTCATCATATGGCAAATGTTTTTAAGCTGGTTAAGACTATGTGCTGGATGGTCACGTGAATATAAATAAAAAGAAATGGTTAAATCTTTAAGTCTAACTTTAGCTATATAAATTCAACCAAATCTATACAATGAGGGTAGACTGCACCTGATGTATAGCCCACAACTTCCTTGTCATCACAGCCTCAATGTAACTATGCAATTAAGACTATCTGATAATGCACAGATAATAGCCGATCAAACAAGTCAAGTTAAGCTGAGCTAGTAAACTGATCTTTTTATATTGCCATTAATATTATAGTCTTTCCTCCGGATTTTACAAATCTATGAGTTATCCGTAATCAGAAGAGATTGGCATTTTATTAATCCAGGCAACTAGCCAAAAGCCTTAGGAGGCTTATAATAGGCATAAAAATAAATCAATTAAAGCTATGGATATTAACTCCTGACTCAGGAGGGATCTGGACAAGGTTCTTATTCCTAAGGATCATTGAAGTTGCAGAGTATGGTTGAAAATTGGTTGAAAATTATTTCTATCTTGATGGCCAGCCAGAACCCGAAAAGACGAATTAAATAACTTATTAGAAGTCTGCAAACTTAAAAGCATCCACAAAAGATGAGGTTTATATAATGGTAAAGCATTTGGATTAAATTAGGAATGAGAAAGAAATAGGAAACCCTTTTTCGATCTCTTTCGATACCGAAGCCATGAAGATCTTTATAAAAGTAGTGAAGCTTATTATTCAAAATAACAGTAAGTAGGGGAATTAATTGGAAATAGATGAAAGTTATCCCTTAATTTCGGTCTATCAGAAGCCTAAGTGTAGGAGGATAATAACGAGGACAATTAGAATATTAAACTAAAGTGAGAAATTAATTAAAAAACTGATAAAGAGGTGTCAAATCAGTGATTTTCAGAAAGCAAGATACGGAGAAAATGAAAAGTATTTTGAAGGGCAAAACCACTTAACGGAAGCTAACCAAATACCTATCAACGAATTAGAAGGAAAGCAGTGGGATATACTGAAATAAATAAATACGAATAGGGTCGTGAGGCCACCGACAGCATACGTGTAGCCGAAAACAACCAAATACAAGTAAAAATTGTGGCTGAGAGTCAAAACAAAAAATGTAGGGCACAAATTTTCGGTTTACAGGAGCTAAGGCTATAGGTTATTAAATAAAATGCACAATTCAAATGAGTTTTTTTTTTGAGGCTCAAAGACGCTAGCCTAGACGGAACGGAAATGGTGGTGTGCTTTGCCATAAAATCAGTGCATATGAGCCTATTAGAAGAGCAGGACCTGACGACAAGGTTGAGTATCTTGGAAAAAGAGGGCGATATCTTGGAGATAGATCGGATATGGATTAATCAACTGAAGGGGGAAAACTAATTATAGAAATGGGTTGACCTCGTTATCTCAACTTGGTCTTGTTGTCAGGGCGACTTAGTAGAACGCACCTAGTCCGAAGTCGCCTGTCATAGTAGTTGTCATGATTCCCAGCATCAGACAGTGGACTTGGTACATTCTAAAAGGGATAAAAGGGTAAAGAGTAGATAGATAGGCCAGGACAGAAAGAGGAGTGATATTGTAACCGTTTATGGCAGAACGTTAGTCGAGGGATTGGCTACACTTGTCTCTTTGACGAGTTCGTAGCTTGGTGCGGCGAATGGCAAAACTCACTGATGATGTTGACTATGATGCCGGCGAAACGTTTTAGAATG